ATAGGAAACAGATGTTTTGAAAATGTGGCACAGTTCAGATATTTGGGAACAACGATAACAGATCAAAACCTGATTGAGGAGGAAATTAAGAGGAAATGGAACTCGGGTAATGCTTGTTACCATTCACTTCAGAACCTTTTGTCTTCTCGTCTGCTGTCCAAAAACAAAAATTAGAATATACAAAACTATAATTTTGCATGTGGTTCTGTATGGGTGTTAGATTTCGTCTCTGGTCTTAAGGGAGGAACATAGACTGAGGGTGTTTAAGAACAGGGTGTTGAGAAGAATATTTGGACCGAAGAGGGATGAATTGATTGGAGGTTGGAGAAAACTGCATAATGAGGAGCTTCATAACTTGTACTCTTCTCCAAGTATAATTAGAATGATCAAGTCGAGGATGAGGTGGGAGGTGAATGCTTATAGGATATTTGTGGGAAAGCCAGAAGGAAGAGACCACTGGAAAAACCAAGGCGTAGGTTGGTGGCCGATATTAAAATTTATCTTAGAGAGATAGAATGGGATGGTATGGTATGGATTGGATTGGTCTGGCTCAGGATAGGGACTAGTGGAAGGCTCTTGTAAACACGGTAATGAACCTTCAGATTCCATAATATGCCGGTAAGTTCTTCAGTAGCTGCACAATTGGCTGCTCCTCCAGAAGGTCTCAGCTCCATGAGTGAGTGAGTTTATACAATTGGTTATAACAGTTCACAAATCACTGAAACATTGTCATGTTCTTCTGACTGGATACTCTCGACTTCTGACCACACTTGACTACCCCACTACTTCGTTGTACTCCGTCCCAACTTTTAACTGTGTCCTCTTAGAACTCCTCTGCACGGACCCCACGGAAAACACCATCTCATGTTGTGAAGAATACGTGTTTTTTGTCCGTTACATGGCAATGGATGCCATATTGTTAAAGGCATATACTTCGTGTATGTGTTTACCGAGCCGTTGCCTAGCAATGGACATATGCGTCACAGTATTCAAGGTAGAATAAACATTGTGAAGTTTCTTCTTATATGTAATGTTCTCAGCCTCCCGTTGTTATTTGGTCCCTCTTAAAGACAATAAACACTCACCGTGAGTGTATGAAGGAATGAGCGATTGGAGAACTCATAGTAAGACACACAGACTGCATCTGTGGTGCACGTACATTATACGGAAATAGAAAGGGGGAGCTGTGATTTAAATTGGACGATTCCAAGTTTTTACAAGCCTGAAGAAGAGCTAGAAAATTCGTGGGGACTACTGTACGGGGCCTGCTGTCCTGTACGGGTACGTGACTGTCGTGTACTGTTGTTGCCCAGAGCCTAGGCAATGCTCACTAGTCTCGGTATTCAGGGGCGTGGGAGGAAAATCTTTAATGTACCTTAACGGACCTTGTAGAGGAAATCGAGTGTGGGACTGAGAGATTGCGATGTACAGCCGCCACGCATATTGATATACTTGCTTCCTTTTGGTTTACTTAACGACGCTGTTAGCATCTCGAGATTATGTGAATAATGAATTGGAAAGGATGTGGAAGGAGACGGTCATAACATAATTTGAGGTACTGAAGGAAAGTGTGAAGAACTTCCGTGAGGATACTCGACCCCCCGGCCAAGATTCGAATACCTCTCCCTACAGTTCGAGTCAGCTTAGGCATTTGTTTCACCGGCTGGGTACATCAGCTTTCAGGTATGTCTGTACCGCCAAGTAACTTTCAGTAAAAAGCTATCTTACCGTACGTCCAGCCAACATATTCGTTAGTCCTCAGGTTTTCATTGCGTAGCCAATCCTCTAGAGGGCGGAAATACTCTCTGACGTGACTTCCGTTCAGTTTAGTTTCTCCTGTAGCCGCATACAGCGCCTCTGTCCATGGAACGGACGAACCCAACCTCATCATATTTCTGTAACCAAACAGAACGGCACATGACGTAGCATTCGTTGTTCATAACATTCTCTTGTGTCCCCTATCTGTTTTATTATTTGGAGGTTAATCAGCGTATCCGGGACAACTGAAGAATCAGTATGTGTACCTTAGTACCAGTGGATTCTGAAGGGCTCTGACCATGGTGTATAACACTCAGAATTACTGGGTTCTTGGACTTTTTCCATCTTCGGGTATTCTAGAGAATAGAAAACTAGGCATTTGAGGAACTGGATCTGTTTCCGTCCTCAGGTCCGTCACTGGTCCAGGGATTTAATTAGCTCTTTCTAAGGGACCCAACTGAGTAGGTGTCTTCCCTCCTCACCTGAGGATGGAAACAGATCCACTTCCCGAAACTTCGTGTTTTCTATTCTTTAGAATACCAGAAGATGGAAAGAGTCAAAAAACCCAGTAATTGTCAGTGTACTCCTGTACAGTTGGAACACGTGCTTGAAGGGAATGACAGATCATAAAGAAGCATATTCTACGGGGAACCTCTACGTCTCACAACCCTATGGGCCTCCACGGCCTGTTACAGGGGTAGCTTTACTTAACCTGAACGCCATCTGTTAGCCGATTGCCTAGAAAATATAGGAGCCTCGACGTCTCACAACCCTACGGGCCACCTCAGCCGGTTACAGGGGTAGCTTTACTTAACCTCAACGCCATCTGTTAGCCGCTTGCCTAGAAATTGTGGGAGACTTGACGTCTCACAACCCTATGGGCCACCTCAGCCGGTTACAGGGATAGCTTTACTTAACTTCACCGCTATCTGTGAGCCTACTGTCTAAAAAATGGTGGAGCCTCGACGTCTCACAACCCTTAGGGCCTCCACGGCCTGTTACAGGGATAGCTTTACTTAACCTCACCGCCATCTGTGAGCAGATTGTCTAGAAGATGTGGGACCCTCGACGTCTCACTACCCTATGGGCCACCACGGCCTGTTACACAGAACCATACTGTTAACATACTGTTGAGAAATGCGCACCAAATTTTGGTCGAAAAAGACTAGACCACTTGGAAGATCTGGACGTAGATGGAACGACCTTAGCATGATTCTAGTGTGGTTTGGATTCATCTGGCTCAAGTTGTTTGTGAGGATGATAACGATCCTTCGGGTTCCATGAAGTGTGAGGAATTCCTTGGCTACAAATATTGTTCGGGGTCTTGTCTTTATAAAAACCGTCCTACTTATTGTTAAGAACACAACGTTGCGTCTTCTTCCTGAAGACAGAGGCAGAATCCAGTACCCCAAACGTTTTGGAAAATAAAGAGGACGGTTTTTAGATAAAGAGAGGATGATGGGTAATGTCCAAAAACATAATATTCGTACTAATGTGCAATCATCAAAAATTTAGATCTTAATTCCTTGGTTATCTGAACGACTATTAGCTTGTCAAGGAAGGCCCTGTTATGTGCCACGTGTCAGGTGTCGGTAGACATTCCCGTGTCCCGCTGGGTTGGCAAACAGCAGCAAACGACTTCGTTAATAAATTAGAAAGTGCGCGGTCAAGAGGCGACTGCCCCGCGCACCTGGACACAATTCGTGTGCGCATGCGCGGGACGAGGAGTAGCGGAAGTAGCGTCCACGCCGCAGAAATAATAACAAACACGTGTTGTTGACAGGTTGTCGGGGTTGCTGTAATGGTGGTAGTAGTATCAGTAGCAGAAATGTCAACAGTACTTCTAGTATCAAACAAACGTCTTGGCCCCCCCGGGGGGTGGGGGGGTGGAATGTTATCTTAGAAAATGCGCAGTTTAATTTATGATATTCTTGTAATACATTTGGACCGGAGAGAGATGAAGTTACCGAAGACTGAAGAAAACTACGTAATGAGTAACTTCATAACTTGTACTCTTCACCAAGTATAATTAGAGTGATCAAGTCAAGGAGGATGAGATGGGCAGGGAATGTAGCATGAATGGGGAGAAGAGGAATGCATATAGAATATTGCTGGAAAAGCTAGCAGGAAAGAGACCACTAGGACGACCAAGACGTGGGTGGTGAACAATATTAAAACGGATCTTAGAGAGATAGTACGGGATGGAATTGGATTGATCTGGCTGAGGATGGGGACCAGTAGAAAGCTCTTGTGAACACGGCGATGAACCTGAAGGTTCCTTAAAATGTTGGGAAGTTCTTGAGTAGCTGCACAGTTGGCATGTTCTCAAGAAGGGCTCAGCTCCATGAGTGAATGTGTGAGTGATATTCTTATAATAAGAGCGAAGAACGATGCCTTGCTTATCTCCCATAAGTACATTCTTATTGCGAGGTAAAGGTAACAGTTGTAAGATTTGAGGCTTTCACGGCAGTGACTATGAAGAAAGCAGTCTTCTGGGATTTGGCACCGTGTATATGTGGTGTTAACCGACGTTTCGGAGGAACGTATCGCCCCCATCTTCAGGGTAGAAGAAAAAGTATAAGAATTCTGCAAGCGACAACACCGTGAGAAACTGTAAAGCAGTCTGCTTTACCGTNACCCCTCGGATAAGTTGCTGAGTTGACCCCACAGCCGGTCTCAACGCTATGGAGTAGATAAAGATATCTTTCTTCTGCCGGGAATCAAACCCCAGCCATCCAACCCGTTGCCTGTCGCTATCCTTCCTGAACTATCATGTAATTAATAGAAATAATGTCTGGGGTTACAGTTTGAAATGGGAACACTGAAAACTTGGACATTTGGTTACTCTGGCAACCAGGTTTCGTTCCTGTCCCTCAGTTTGAGAAACGTTGCGATGAGTGATTAGTTCTGTGCCTGACTGTGGGAAATGAAATGATGACTAATTATATTAGAAATGAGGTAAGAGGGAGGGTGTGTAAGTATGTCACAATTGGAAGTAAAACAGCTGTAATGGACGTAATAGGTTTTCTATGTTTATCACTAGGCAGCAGCACAATCAAGCTTCATGACAGTCTAGGTAGCAGACGCGCATGCGCATGTTTCGAGACTGGTTTCAGTAGTCAAAATGACGAGCATGTTTGAGGATCGTCCTACCGAAGAGCAGTGTTCAGGTGTTTTTGTGGGCAAAATGACTTAATGCAAAGGATATTCATAAAGAAATGTTTCCTGTTTACGGTGGAAAGTTTTTGTCACATAAAGCGGTTCACATCTGAGTGGCAAACAGTCAAAAAACTTCTATGCTGCAGGTTTCGACGCATTTGTAAAGCGATGGGGCAAGTGTATCAATGTTGGTGGAGGATATGTCGAGAAATAAATGCTTTTTTTTTTTTCCTCAGATTCCAGTATCACATGTTTTACGTTTGATATTCATTTGTGACCTATGTACTGGTTCTGCCTCGTGATTATTATAACATGGATAGTGAAGAGCTACGATTTGGCCCACCACACCATTACAACATGGAGTTAAGTCCGAAATTCAGGATTCGAGCCCAAGTCCGAAAATTCATGTGGTTAATGCGGGAAGTAGTAGTTTCTCGAATATTTCATCACCACCACCACCATTATCGTTGTCATCATCATCGTCATCATCATGAACTATGTAGGGTCTGCTCGGTAAGGCCTGTTGCTGTGTATTGATCAATATAAATCTGCTTAAATTGAAGAGATAAATGAAAGACGTCAGATATGTAGATCAACTTTTAACGAAGAATGCCGTCTTCTTGGATGTGGTGCCATGTAGATATTGTGTGAACCGACGTTTCGGAGGAACGTATCGACTATATCTTCAGGGTATAAACAACCTCGAACGAGGAACCAACATGAGCAGGTGGCTGCAGACTGAGCCACCCAGCTATAGCTGGGTCTTTTCGACTGGCGGCTCAGTCTGCAGCCACCTTAAGCTCGCAGATTTTTATACCCTGAAGATGGAGGCGATACGTTCCTCCGAAACGTCGCTTCACAAAGGATGTGCACGGCACCACATCCAAGAAGACGGAATTCTTCATAGTCACCGCTATGAAAACCTCAGGTCTTTCATTCTGGGGGCATAATGGGCATATATCCATTTTCCTGTTGCTACGTATTTTGTTCGAATCGACAGTAAGTTTGCCATCGTCTGGGGCATAACGCCCTCTAGTCGCGTTGAAGTTTACCAATGTTTCTGTGGAATATTCTGCCCCCATCTTCAGGGTTCGAAACTTTTGTTTCTGAGTTTTCTTGTCTATAAATATTTAGCCAGGTAATGTAAGTTTTCATCTTCTCCGCAACGTCCTGACCGGCTCTTGGGCCCACTCAGTCTCCTATCCAGTGTGTACCGGGGAGTAAAGCGGCAGGGGCATGAAGTTGACCACTCATTTTTATCTAGTGCCGAGGTCGAGAAAATTGGAGCTGTACCTCCACTGCCCCATAGTGCTTAACTGATTAAGCACAGAGATAACTTTACTCACGGAAACACAAAGACTTTTTAGTGTTCACTAGTCATTGCTTGGTAGCGGCTTCCAACGGCAGACATTCCCCTTCTTCTGGGTTCCCGAACTGTTCCCGGCCTCAGCTACCAGCTTACTTGTCACAACTGCAGCTCTCAACTGATTCATATGGACCTCACAGAAAACGTTTCTTCCATTATTGCGTGTTGTCGTTGCTAGGGAAACAACGTGTCCACAGAGCTGTTCCCTAGCAACAGCTGTTACTTGACAGTGGGTCTACATGTCACAATATTGTGATGTTGGTAAGGGGAGAAACAGTAACCCGGACCAAGAACAGGTATTTCTGTTTGTATAACATAATAATGAATGGCAGAAATTCCACGAGTGGTACCGTTCGAGTTGGATGCTGGGATAGTAGTCTTATGTGAGTTGTAGCACGCCGCATTCCCTTGTGCTTCCTGTCACACGATCCCAATTAAAATCACAGATCGCAAAGATCGAAGAACGAGGAAAACAGACAAATAGCCAGACGTGACAAGCATGAACAAGCCGATCCTGTTTAATTGCTGTAGGATTTTCTTTTGATAATTTCCTCTCTCTCTCTTCTTTTTTTTTCGCAGAATCACGGCATAACACTTTCACGTGTCCACAGC